ATCTCAAAGGCTTCCACCCAGCAATGACAGAAGTTGCTTCTGCTCACAATGCATTGGCAAAGCAAGTCATGTGGCTGGCTGTGCTTAGTTTCAAAAAGGTGCAACCTCCACGTATCCAGAAAAAAGAAAAATGGAAATATATAATGAAGAACAGTAACAACTAACACAAAGTCCATGACTTGGTCCTGTCTGTCTCTCCAGGATTATTTCAGGTCATTTCTTACTTTGCACTTACATTAGCTACAGAAGAACTTTTAAAAGATAGGTGAATATAGACCAAAAAAAGCATCTACAATACCATCACCCCGCAAAAAATTGTTAGCTTTCTGTGTGTCCCTCTTTCTTCATTTCCTATCTATTCATCCATCCGTCTGTCTGTCCACCCATCCATCCATCCATCCATCCATCCACTTAATTTTGTTTAACAAAAAGAACGTCATACTAAGAATTCTGAATCTTAAAATGCTATCTAATGCCTCTCTCTCAACCCTTCCCTAAATCCTCATTCTTTTCTCTAATCATGGCAGTACACAAGCTTACCATTCAGGCAAAATAGGAATGTAAATTTATTTGAAATTATGTATACAGATGCTATTACCCATCATTTTAAAACAGAACTGCACAGGTGGTATCCTACACATGAAACATCAGGCAACTTCTAAGTAGCTGAGAAGCCCACCTGCTTCTGAAACCCCAGGCTCAGAGTAATTAAGTAACCTACATACTCTTCTTCCATTTTCCTGGGATCCAGGGACACTAGCTGGTGGCACAGTTCACTGACACCCTCAATAGACCAAGTTGGTCTATTCTTTATTAAGTTCCAAAATCTGTCTCAGTGATTCAAAGGTCTATAAATGCAGAATCAAAGAGGTTGCTTGCTATTGTGCAAGAGGGATTTCTCATGCCATTTTATGACTATGAATTAACCAAGTGTGACTCAGATATGATACTGCCTGAAACCAAAGGAACCATATGGGGATTGTGCAGTATTTAAACGAAGAAGTAGAAAGATGTTGTCATCCACAGCAGAAGACAGCAAAGCCAGGCAGACCTGGAACCATAGTGCAGTGTGACCACTGCATTGTGACTTAAAGGAAGCCTCAGATG